TTTTATATGGCCAAATTCTACTAACTCTTATACCATACTCGATGGAAAGGCTGCAATGAGAATTGTATCTACTTTAAACTTGTGCAAGTCTAAAGTGCAAACATCTGTAAAAATACTTTTTTGGGGGGTTTTATATCTCTTCCATTCATACATCTACCTGCAGTTCCCAGAAGTCTTGCAGAAACTGTTCATACAACCAAGTTGACAAATTATCCTGCATACAGCAACAAAATACTCTTCTTTGGTTGCTATAGAGGAAAGAGCTAATTATCCAAAACTCCAACCATAACATTGACCCAAGAGACATCAATATGTGAAATATAAGATTTATAGTAAGTATGTGTGATTTGCCATGCATTCTGATTTAATTTACTTCCAATAAATTGATTTGCTAGATATAAAGGGGGACTGTGAGAAGAATATTATATTTCAGTAAGTTTCCACTGACAAACTGAAGAGCAGGAACAGTATTCGTTAACCAATAACACATGTTATAACACCTGCAGTGTAAGAGCTTTTCTTTCGTTAATGAAAGAATGAAAACTAATGAAAACTATCAGTAACAGAATTCTAAAAGGGTAGAAAATGAAGCAATTTTATATTTGGTATTTGGTATACACAAAAGCTAATGCTCATCTACTTGCTTTTACAAAGTACTGTCTCATGTTTGTAGGTAGGACTGATATGTCTTGTTCTAAAGCATTTAACTTGGGTATTTTTGTTTGTTAGCTAAATATATATAGCTAATTAGCAATTTCCCCCTCCATTAACATGTTAATAATTTTAAGGAATGTAAAAGTCATATAAAATTTAATTTATGAACAGTGATAACGTTTCTATATAGATGACGTATTATTTAAAATAATTAAAAGTATGGGCAGCCATTGATTCAGGCATTAACATAAACAGTGGTTCAAATGTAATTACTAAATGACAGTGACAGTATGCATCTGTGCAAAAAGTAATTTGCAGAATGACTAGCATCCCATGAAAAGTCCAAATGTATGCTGTGGTCTTTCTGTTATTATGTTTGTTCTTGGGTTCTTTGACTGTAATAAACTTTAATTCATACTGAATTGGGAACAAGAACATGGAGTCTTGCTTGGCTCCAAATACGATTCTGTTTCTTCAGAAATCAGTAATATAAAGAAGCATTTATTTATCTTTAGCTGCAATGTATTATATGTAGCATAATATAATACTATTAATTCATGTATTAAATGTATCATATGTAGCAATATGTTTCAGGATCTCCTGGATAGTAACTCAGTGAGCTTTCAGTTTCTTCTCCAAGGATACTAGATTAAGACATTTTATTTAGATGTAAATCATCTTTATATGCAGTAATTTCAGAAATGGGAG